AAAACATAGCGATAACAACGCCAATTTAGTATCACTCCTCCCAAATCGTTCTGTAGAGCTGGGCCAGTACATAAAATGTCATTCAGTGATTTCCCGTTGGAGCTCTTACAAGAGGCGTGGTAGACTACCCTGAGTTTAGTCGTCAGGCTGTCCTCCTTCAGGACTGCATGGTGTGGAATCGTGCTGCAGAAGACGCCGAGCTTCCCATTTGTGTTGACATGAGAGTGACTGTCTTTGCTTGTAGTGACTTCTTGTATCAAATATCCTGTAAGTCAAAATATTCCTCGATTGCTTGGAGATATTGTTGATGAAGCTTATCGCGCTGCTGCAATTTTCGCTCTAGTGTGTAGAAACGATTTAAGGCTATATGTTTTGATCGGCCTAGAACTTGTGACGGGTCGAACAACGTTTTCAGTGGTAAGCGAACCATGTATTTCCCGTTGGGCTGTCGAACATGGGTTTGACGAAAGTGTTCTTCACACCATCGTTCCTCTGTGGTGAGTTGGCGTTCAGACGGCACGCTATCTAGTTCGAAGAACCTTTGCACCAGATGATCAAGCGTCGTGGTGTTACAACGGACAGTGATGGAGTGTGTCATGGATTTCCTCACTGGTCCAAAAACAATCCAACCAAGAAGAGTGTTTTGTGCGATTGGTTCCTCATGAGTTCCTCGTCGAATTTCTGGGAGCATCAATTGTGGAATAAGATCAACGCCCACAAGCACGTCAATACGACCGGAGCGGGCAAAATTGGGATCGGCGAGTTGCAATCCTTTAAGGTGTTGGAATGAGCGAGGGTCGACATCCAATTTTGGAAGGTGCCCTGTAAGTGTACGGAGAATAAATGCAGTGGATACAAACGATGTGAACTGGGAACCTGAAATCGAGCTTAGGACAAAATTGGTACTATGGTCGCAGTTTCAATCGACAACGATTGTGAGAGGAGTCGCCGATCCCTGTTATTTCCGCAGATATAAGGGTGCGTGAGAGACCCATCGTCTGTCCTAAGCTTTCGGTGATAAGTGTTCCTTCCGAGCCATGGTCAATCAACGCTCTGGCTAAAACAGATTGTCCCGTTTGGTCGTTGACAATTCGGATTAGGGCCGTGGCGAGAATCGTGGTGGATGGATTTTGATAGGTGGCAACTGCGCTGAGGAGTTGCGTCTCGTTCGAAGCAGTTAAGCCGGGGGCTGTGCTGTTAAGACAAAACAGATGAGCGGGATGCTACGCTCTGTTGGGTGCCCTGCGCGCTATGGACACTGTTCGTTGGCTGTCGCGATAGGGCAGAGTTGGTAGGCTGGGTTGCTATGTTCGGACAATGCAGTAGCGTATGGTGGCGTTGGCCGCACTGTAAGCAATTGCGAGTGCTGCCGCAGTGACTTAGCGCGTGGCCTGTGCTGAGACAATTGAGGCATGCTTTTATGCGATCGACGATCGTCTTACGAGCAAAGCAATCCTTCGCGAGAAAACTGGGGCATCTCCGGAGAACATGGTTTCTGTGGCAGAGAGTGCACTGGGGTGCTCCCATTTCCGTAGTCACATGAAAACTCTGGCGGTTAGTGGAACTGAAGTTGGATCGGTTAGGCGCACGTGGATGGGAAGATTGTCCTGGTGCTGAACGAGTTCCAAGTGGTTGATTTCGATTTTCGATTAGGTCGATGCTAACTAAGCGCTCCAGCAGGAAAGTCTCCAACATCGAAAAGGTTGGAATCACGGTGGAGCTCCCCAATGAGTGCTCCCACGCTTGCGTAGTTCTGCTTGGTAGTTTGGTTAACAGATGATGCACTAGCCAGTGATCGCAGGAATCAATGTTTATTTCTAAACGTCGAAGATCACTAATGCAAACATTAGCCAGGGTTAGCACGCGCCTGATACCTTCTGCAGCTTCCTTGGGAACCGACTCAAGACCATACAGTGCCGCCATGGTGTGCATAAAGTGGAGACGTGGATTGTTGTAGCGCTTGACGAGGAGATCCCAGGCTACCGTATACCCAGAATCCGTTAATGCCATGTGAATGACATCCTGGTCCCGTCCTTCGGGCAAGGCCTGCTTGAGAAAGTGAAACTTCTGGATGTTAGAGAGAGTGTTGTTGTCATGGATGAGTTGTAGGAAACCATCGTAAAACGAGGGCCAATCCGTAAAGCTTCCCGAAAAGCGTGGAACTGGAAGCTTCGGAAGCGGAATGTTGGATGATAAAATTGGAGTGACGGACTCGATTGGTGGGGAACCTTGGGCTATCACTGAGAACTTGTTGTCGTATTCTTCCGAGATGTTGCAGAAGATGTGCTGGTGCTCTTCAACAAACCGCTCGTATAGGTTGTCTGAGAAATATACATGTTGACTGGGACACAGCTGATCGACCAATTGTTGGTGATTCGCATCAAACAGGGTGGATAAATCCTTTAACGTGCTAAGTCGCTGAAGAAAATAATGTTTGGATTTTCGGGATTGGCTATCCTTCTTGAAGTTACGCTCGAGTTGCGTCAACCTGTTCCATAAATCCTTCTGTCTCGCGTGCAAACCAGCAAACTGGTCGGATGGGGAAGGATTGGCTTGTGTGCCTGTCTTTTCATCGTCGATACCCATAGTTTTATTGAATTTACAACAGCACGCTTGAAATCACAGCCCTCACATACAAACACTCACCGGCTTCCAGTCAGTCTGTGTAGCAGTTTCCAGTTTCAATTCGTCGTTCCTTTGGTCCGTTATTCGTCTCGCAGCAATCTCTCCTTCCTTTGTCCGTTATTCGTCGCTCAGCGATCCCTTGTTCTTCGGTCCGTTATTCGTAGAAAGCGTGGTTCCACGTGGCATAGGTTAATAGCCGTTTGTTTCAGATTAATTTGAGCCCAATTGTTTGTTCCAAATCAATTCAAACTCCATTCATTGGCATATTTAACAACAGGTTCCCCTCATGGGCCACCAAAAATGTTGTGACTGCGCCGATAGAATACGGGAGTCAATGATTAGCAGAAGTCTCCTATGGGGACTTTGCTATTGCCGTTTTATAAAAACACAGGGTTTGTTTCAAGGATGTCACTGAATTTAATTTGAATTGATTTTAGAGATCAAACAATGTTGGCAGTATAACAAGAATGTGTTTTAGTCGTAATAATTGGAAGAAGCTTAGAGATGTCCCGCTTTCCAAAGGGACCGGGATCTCGAGATCGATAGACATCAAGCAGGTATCGATTGTAGGGTTGTGGTATGCACTAACATTACGTAATGAACATTAAATGACCGTACAATAGCTTTAAAACTGAAAGACTAGTTCGCCTAGAAACAGACAGACAGACGAACAGCCTGACAGATAGACGGACATGCTTATATCAACTCAGAAGGTGATCCTGATCAAGAATATATATATAGTCGGAGATGTGTTCTTCACTGCATTGCGCACTTTTGACCAAAATTATAATACCCTCTGCAATGGTATAAAAATTGGTAACCAATGGGGTCTAACCTATTTACCCTATTTACCTACCTATTTTACCTATTAGTAACAGAAACCATGAGTTTTTCCAGAAGTAATTTTGAATCCACCAGTTTAAGAATAAACATATTAAGTAGTATAACTCCAGCACAAGCGCGGCGCTCTTACAATGAAGGTAAATTAATAGTTTTAGCAACTGGCAGTATCCCACCTTAAATTTTATCATGCAAATAATAGAAACTGATTTTGGACAGATTGAATAGTCTTTTGACGAACAAAGTCATGCGGATTTCGAACGCACGAACAGTATTCCAAGATAGGACGAACCAAAGGACATAGAAAGTCTTAATGGTAAAAGGATCATAAAATTAATTGATCCATATTTGATAATGTTTGATAAAGCTAGCACAATCCTAGCTTTATTAACTGAATGAATAGCTTTATTATTCATTAACTTAATGAATAGCTTTATTATTCATTAAACGACAGCTTATGGTCAACGTTTATTTTATTATTTAGAACGTTTATTAAGAAAATACGATATAGGACGTTCTCTTCAAGTGGTTATGAGTCAATGTGAAGCACACTGCGATTGAATGTCAACCTTAAACTTTGAGCAGTTAAGTTACAGAAGATTATTTAAACAGCACAAGAAGACTTCGCTCAAATTGCAAAAGTCAAATTGCAAGTGTCTATGAAAGAAATCCAAAAGTCAACTTGGGAACCAAAATTTCATAATCAGAGACAGAGTAACTAAGCCAAGTTTCAGTAAGCGCGATAGCATGAAAAGAAACATTTTTTGTAAAAAATTCGCTCAATTTACCCAGAATATTTCACACGTTTTGGTGGCAACTGGAAAATACTATCTTATTAATTTTTTTGGAGCAGTTTCGTCAGAGCTAAGAAGAAATGAATATGAAGAAATTCATAAATGGTACATTGCTCAGCTCAGGCAGCAGGATCAAATGCTTTTCCGAGGTAGGAATAAGATTAAAAAATTTAAAAATTAGATATACGAGTGCAACACTTATGTCTAAAGTTGCTAGAAGACTCCACATACTGGAACGGCATCAGGTAAGCAAGTAGGCTAGGTTATTTGGCAGCATTAATCTTTCCAGGGAATTGTACTTATACCACGTACTCTTACTTGTACGATTTGTACCACATGGGAGGCAGTCCGATAAATTAACTGACTGCAGGTTATTGTTTGAAATTTTTCTTCTTAGAAAATCGCTTAACAAATGAAGACCACGGAATTGGGTTTCAAGTGCACGGAATTGCTCATTAAGAGCCGAGAGTTTTTAAGGCATTTGGGCGGTGTAGAATTTAGATAGGATTACTTCAGATATTATTTTTATGTCTGCCAGAATCGGATAAGTATTATCCTTGATAGGAGTTTCACGTCTTGGACAAGAAAACGGAGTGTTCCAAAAACTTTTTTAAAAACACACAAAAAATTAAAACTTGTACTTATATTAGTTTTTAACCAAAATAAAATGGTATACAAGTTTTCTGGTACAGATAAAGGTAACAGACTTAGTTAATTTTTAAACTCTATCTCGTATTGCAGACTAACTATAAAGGCCTCATGCCCTATGGAACTGAATAACTTTCCAATGGACAGACAGTCCTGCCCGCTCGTAATCGGAAGTTGCAAGTGTCTTTAAATACAATTTGTATTTAATAACATAATATTTTTTAGATGGATATACAAAGAAGCAATTGGTGTATGAATGGCAAAATAATAATGATGCGGTAACATTTGTTCCTGGTATGACCCTTAATCAATTTGACCTTATTAACATGATGTATCGAAATTCTACATCTGCTCGACGTGAAGGTATCTTTTCCGTTTTACATGTTGCTTTTAATCTTAAACGTCATACTGGATATTTTCTTATTCAGGTAAGTCTATTATATATTACATGTATATAAATCCGTTATATCGCAAGTTTTACTTACTAAATGATAAATTTTTTAACAATATGCTTTAATTCAGCCGAATTTTATAGTTTTTCGGCAAAAATCTTAATCAAACCTGTTTATTCTCTTGCAGAGTGTATTCAAATCGTCAGTTAAATGGCAAAAAGCATATTCGACCGTATTACGCATAAATATCGTTGATCTGAATAATCGTCTGTTTCTACATCACCTAGTTTTTCACCTTTAAAGCTTTTGAGTTTAAACTTAGCACATATTCTTCTTCCCCTTGCATACAAGTCGGTTAGGATGGGATGTAGTTGGCCGGTCTGACAAAAATTTTGTAAAATAGCTTAATATGCCAAATATAAACCTGTGGAAACTCGCAAGTTTAGCAGTATGGATAGGGCCAGTCGGTCAAAAATATAATCTCGTGAAAGTCATAAGCTTCGAAAATAACATTTGCGATCAATCAGCTATATGTCACCTATGTATAGGATATAATTGTTCGATCCTTTTTTATTTCATTACAGGGTTCTACATTTTCATATAGAGGGTTATTAGCTTTTCCGTTAATTTTTATACCCTTGCAGAGGGTATTATAATTTTGGTCAAAAGTGTGCAACGTAGTAAAGGAGACATCTACGACCCTATAAAGTATATATATTCTTGATCAGGATCTCCTCCTGAGTTAATATGAGCATGTCCGTCTGTCTGTTTCTACGCAAACTAGTCTCTCAGTTTTAAAACTATCGACTTGAAACTTTACACACACCCTTCTTTCCTTTGCACCCTTCTTTCTTTCCTTTCTCTTTCCTTTGTACATGAGCCGGAAAGACTGGGATCGGCCGACTATATCCTATATCTGCCATATTGATCGGAAATGGTGTAACTTTAGTGTTTTTAAAGTAACAATGTTTAAATTTGACACGAGAGCTATTTTTGGCAAAATAATACGAAGTGCCAAATTTTGTAAGGATCGGCCGACTATATCCTTTAGCTGCCATATAGCTGAACGATCGGAAATGACCCAACTTTCGGGTTTTTGAAGATAGAAATCTAGAACTTAGTACAGATTCTATTTTTGGTCAGTTGATCCAACCATAAGCTGGATAGGTTCGACGTGGGTTATCTCCAATTTTAGTCTAGCTGTGCCAAGCGATTATTCCCTCGCTTGTTTTTTTTTTTGGTTTTTTTTTCGCGGTGTTTCAGAATGGCTTGTGCATCAATTAGTGCATCAGCTAGCATTTCTGTATTCATCTTAGGGGCTGTCCATATATTACCTTTTCTGCGATTTTTGACCCCCTACCCCCTTGGTAATCAAAAGTAATCATTTAATGAACAATTAAATGAAAATATTGACTCTCACGAACATGTTCTTGATACCAGTACTGATCTATGTCATCCAGTTCTGCCTCTTCTTCGTTAGGTAGACAATATTTGGCAGTCACAGAAAAGTCATCGAGAACCATGTTGCCCCAAACATTGGCCAATGTTCTCCCAGCGAATTCAAAATTTTGTTTCTCTAAGTCGTAGTCTGTGGTTCTGCCTTAGTTATCCAAATGGCTTCCAAACATATCGTGCGGCAAAATCAACCCAGACAATTCCCGGCTTCTCCTTTCGATTCGGTTAAAAGCACTTCTTCCTGAAATAAAAATGGATCTTACAATATAATAGCTATTTAGCTATTATTATTATTATATGGCCATGACAATATATGGCCTTTTTCGGGTCTCGGCCTGAAGCGCAATGTGCCTCCATGCGTCTCTGTCCTGAGCGCGCCTTCGCCAGTTGGTAACCCCAAGTGTGGACAGGGTTTCCATCACCTGGTCTTGCCAACGCGTTCGGGGTCATCCTCTCCTTCGTGTCCCAACAATCACCGCATCAAACACCTCACGAGCTAAAGCGTCTTCATCCATACGGGAAACGTGACCCAGCCAGCGAAGTCTTTGAGATTTCACTCGACTGGCTACGTCAACATCACCGTACAGCTCATACAGCTCGTGGTTGTATCGGATGCGATAAACATCGTCTACGCAGATTGGACCAAAGATTTTTCGAAGAATTTTCCTCTCGAACACTCCAAGAGCAGCTGGCAAGTGTTATTCTCCGCTTAATCTCCAGACTGACATCATTTGTGCTTGTTATAGTAGTGCCTAGGTAGATAAACTCCTTGACGGACAAAAGCTATAGTTTTCTGCAGTCAGCTGAGAATCAAGACGCCGCGATGCTCTGCTAGAGCACACCATAAACTTTGTTTTCTCCATATTCACTGCTAGTCCGACTTTTGCTGATTCCTTTTCAATAGCCCCGAAGGCTCCTGTGACATCACGCTTGGTGCGGCCAATGATATCAATATCATCAGCGTAACCAAAGAGCTGGACACATCTGTTGGTTAATATCGTGCCCGACCGATGTACACCAGCCTTTCTTATAATACTCTCCCTTAAAATATTGAAGAGTATACAAGACAGCGAGTCACCTTGTCTGAGGCCACACTTGGTAATAAAGGTTTCGGATTGGCCACTTCCTACCTTGACAGAGCTGATGGTGTTGCTCAATGTCATTCTGCAAAGTCTAGTCAGCTTTGCTGGTATACCAAGCTCAGACATAGCGGCATATAGGCGATCTCGCCGGGGGCTATCAAATGCGGCTTTATAGTCGACGAAGAGATGGTATGTGTTGATCTGGTTTTCGTAAGATTTCTCCAGGATTTGGCGCAAGGTGAAAATCTGGTCAGCAGTGGACTTGCCAGGCCTGAATCCGCACTGATAAGGTCCAATCAATACTTCAGCATGGGGTTTCAGTCTTTCACACAATACGCTCGTTAGGACCTTATATGTAACTGGAAGAAGACTAATTCCGCGGTAGTTGGTGCGCACCGTGGCATCACCCTTCTTCAGGATAGGACAGATCATGCTGAGGTTCCAATCTTCGGGCATGCTCTCCGTGAGCCATATCTTACTGATTAGTTGGTGCATGCTCCCTACCAACATATCACCAGCTGCCTTAAACGATTCTGCCGGCAGGCCGTCAGCACCTGCAGACTTGTGGTTTTTAAGCCGTTGGATTGCATCCTTGACTTCAATATGACTTGGGATTGGCACTTCAATATCAGTGCCATAGATTGGGGTTTGTGGGTCATAGTCTTCAGAGTCTGTGCTTGACAGACTCGAGAAGTGATCCCTCCATAACCTCAGCACGACCTCTGCTTCTGTGACAAGATTACCATCATCGTCCCTGTACGCCACTGCACCAGTCTTAAATCCTTGGGTCAGACGCTTAACCCTCTGGTAGAAGTTACGTGCTTCATTTCTGCGTCTGCTGCTCTCTGTGCTCTCACACTCTCGCCTTTCCTGCTCTTTCTTCTTGCGTCTGAAAAGGCGTTTTTCGTCTCTTCTTCTCGACCTGTATACATCCACAATAGCTCGTGTCGCCCCAGCCTGCAGTGTTCTTCTGTAGGCGGCGTCCTTCGCAGCTGTTGCGTCATGACACTCCTGATCGTACCATGGATTCCTTGTTAGAGGACGCTGGAATCCAAGCACTTCTACTGCCGAAGCTCGCAGGGAGTGAGATATGAGCGCCCACATATCGCTTATGTCTTCAGGTATTGATGGTGCTCGGCTTAATAGCCCCGAGACGTGAGTGGAGAATGCATTCTTCGCCTGTTGTGATTTCAGTTTTCCGATGTCCAGTCTTCTTAACGCACTTCGACGTGCAATCTTCGTCACACATAGCCGTGTGCAAATCATAGCTGCAACAAGATAATGGTCAGAGTCGATGTTGGGACCCCGACAGGATCGCACGTCGAGTATATAAGATGCGTGGTGCGCATATCAGGCTGATGTTAAAGAATTTGGCAGTAATTCGGATCGTTGCAATTCTCTCGTTTGTTGGCCGAAAGTGAGAGACACGGCGCCGCAGTCTGGCACCTACAATGAAACCACAACCAAATTCACAACATTTCCTGGATAGCAGTGATGTCAGCCCTACATTTGTTGAGAGTATCTGCTAGTTGTTGAGCAGCACCAGGTTTGTACAATGTTCGTACGTTCCAGGTGCAATGTTCGTACTCTCAAATCATTGTCCTTTTTACGCTTGCTATGGTCGTCAACGTTAGATCGGTTCCTTTCCGAGGCTTCTCTTGCTTCCTTCACTGATATTGTGTTTTACATGGGTGGATTTCAAGTCCTACGCCAAAACCTAGTAGAGTTAGGACTCTCGTCGAGCGCTTTAGTTGCCACTCAACGACTGTCGAGCGACAATCCAGGGAGAACCACGTGGAGGTAGTGCGTCGGCTTGAAGAAAGCAGTGACAGGAATCATGCTGGCATTCACCAAGTTGAATGCAATCAGACACTTTGACCTGTATGCTTTCCCCCATTCTCCCCCAATTTAGCTATTACTTAGATAAAAATTGTACCTGGAGCATTTATGGCAACAAAAATTGCATCCAAATTGTATGCTTTAAAATGTTGTACTGCATGGGAAATAACCTTCCCATACCTGGGATTTTCATCAGGGCCACCATCAGAAGTTATAATAACCACCAGCTAAACTAGTCCTTCATCGGTCCTTGCTATTGATTTAAAAGACTCTAGTTTCACAATACTGTCGAAATCTCTAGCATGGGTTCCAGCAGTAGATGAAGAATGCTTTCCACTTCTAATGCTTATAAATGTGGGGCCAGAATAACCAACAGCTTTCGGGTCTCCCATTTTTTGTGGACTTATAATTACCCCCGCATAAACTGATGGGATTAGCTTATGCCTTGTGGCAACAACCCAATCGTGATTTGGCAGCTTGACCTTGTATTCAAGATGCATAAGCAGCGGCGCTTGCTTATTTGCAGCAGTCAAGCCAATTAGCAACCTAGCCTTGTCGTCTTGTGACAAAAAAATTACTTGAGCAGGGCCGAGAACAAAGGCAATGTTGTCAAGATATTTTATAGATGCTGTAGAAAAATATCCATCTATATGCTGCTTG